CCCCCCGACTGTAAACATCTCTATTGACTTCGCCTGAGCGAAAAACATCGTCCACCCTCTCCACTGTGTCAAACCACAGTGCTGTACCTGTGGGGAAAATACTGGTGAACCTGGCAGTATTCGACTATTACTACTCCAAAAATTCAACACTTCTGCTGCAGTTTTATCTGCATAATCAAGTACGTCTCAAAATGCTATTCCGAAAAAAATGGTTGATTGAATTAGTTAACCGGGACAGAATTTTGAAGATTACTGCGATGCGGCATGCCGCTGCCACTCTGATATTGGACCGGTTTTCAAAGTTTCTAATGCTTTGGGAACAACATAGGTTTCTCGAGAGTTGTAAAAAAGAAATGGAAGAAGGAAAGCAAACACTCAGACAGGTGCGATGTTCTTCAGATGGATCCCAAACCATTAAAACTTTGGAGACCGACCCAATTTCAGCGTGGCAGCGAGCAGCGAGCAATGACAAAGGCACGGTGGCGAGCCTGACTCCGCCCCTACAATCAATGTGGACTGCGCCTTTGAGCAGTTTTTCAAGAGAACTGTTATCATTTTGCGTAAGCATAGACCGGATCTCAATGAAAGGTAGATTACGAGCGATGACAGAAAATAGGCTCGGTTCATCTCCAACGCAACCCATCGACGTATGGCTGGCTGGTAAGCTCATGTTTACTGTACAATACGGTCTTATTCGCTGCGGATACTGAGGCCTGTCAGAGCGGCTGCATTTGGCGCAGCGCCAGCCAGTTCTCCACACTTGTTGAAGGGGGCAAGCGGCAACAACTGGGAAAACGGGTTGGCATCGCGCTCAGCCCCCTGACACGCCCCCGCATCCGCAGCGAACATGAATGATACCCCAATAGTCCGTAAATTCAGATCGGTGGAATCCACGAGTCGTGCATGAAGCCGGAGAATCTCACCACTCACAAGGAGACTATACCTTCAATTTTTGACGATTATTTGTGGTTTTCTAGCACTTAATATACTATGAAATCCAGAGCGAAGATGAATATGTGTTTTCTCACCACTAATCAGAAAGAAGTTCAGTCAATTTATTATTTTTGTGCATGGAATGAAAAATGCGCTAGAAAAATGTCTAGAAACACGAGGTGTTTGAACGGCAGGACTGCATTCCAGTCCCTCGGCACTACCAATGAATATCATCAATAAAACCTACTCAGTAGTGCTAATGGTAAGGGCCATATGTAGACAAAGAATTGAGCTGCTGCTATTGTACAATACGGAATCGCAAAGAAGATCAACAGATAAAGGCATATTGCAGGTACAAGCACATTTCACGCTCGACGCATGGGCGGGCTGAGCCTACTATTGTGCTGCTCTTATGGGATCAGCGCTGGGAGGGGGTCGCATTTGGTCCTTGTTGGGATGGGGGAGGGGGTAGTATGTGCCTTGGAGAGAAATTTGCCGTTGGGAAAATAAATTTTTCCCGCTTGTTGAAATTTCGCGGTTTTTCTCGTTTCACATTCGCTATATACCCCGGACCAGTTGGTGGCTCCCCCAGAGTTTTATATACCTACTATTTCCGATATGTAGTTGAAAAAAGTAGTTGGTTGCTGACGACAGACGACCTTCCCCTCCCCCCTCAACGGAAAATTTTTGGGGAAAAAGTAGCAAATTTCCGTAAGGCTGTTAGGAAGCTGGGAATATGTAGGGAAAAGTGATAGGTATGTTGGGAGGGGGATGGTGGCCGAGACGATGCTGTACCCTGACGACAGACCTGGCCACGGCTACGCTATCGAGAGTGGAATGCGCCTTCTAAGATAAACTGTTCTCTCACCTCCAAGAATGGATGTTTCCATGTGTGTTGTGAATGAGTTCGCAGCCATAATAGCCAGCTTCTTCGCTCAAGGTGCGCGGGAACGGGGCCGGGAAGGCAGTAAGACCAGTGCCGGCTCCATACTTCGCCCGCGCTATCCTTAGGGTGTAGCACTTGATACCTAAATCCAGCAGCGAACACTCAAAGGTAGAAAAAAAGACCAGAAGTGAGAGGGCGCAGGGTAGCGTGCCTGGCTATGGTTGTAAGCGGTCATACTCGTACCCGTGCATTTCGGGGCTGTAAAAGTGGCACGCTACTGCAGCTGCGGACTCATTCACCTCGAACATGGCAAGGACCAGGATCCGCGAAGCTGAGTGTACAGTTTTGTTTAAGCACGACTGAAAACAACATGATATGGAGAGACTTTTCGGACAACTCCCATCACTCCTTTGGCCTTGTCCACAGGTGGATGTTCTGGATCAGTCGATACATCGAATCGTAAGAGGAGATTACCAATAATCTGAAAATTCACTCAAAGCAGCAGACTGTAACGCAGAAATTTAGATATGCATCACGCCAGATTACCTTCGTCTTGCTCTCTGGACGTTGGCGCGAGCAAGCAGAGGGCTGGGTTTGGCGCGGCGCATGACTGTTTTTATTTTATTATTTTTTTTTTTTTTTGCTTTTTTTTCTCCCCTCATCATGTGAACGCATGCCAGCTTCCACAATTCGTGAATAACAGGTTGGCACCGCGTCAAACCCCCGCAGCCTCCTGAAACGCCCTCAGCGTCCGCAGCGAACAGAAGTGTATCAGTAGTTAATAAGAGACTGACCCCGCCCAAGATAGAGAGTGACTCACGAGGTACAACTCCGCTCGTGCTAATGATTCACCAAGACAATTTCGCTTTCCTATTCCAAAGGGAATCACTTGTTCTTCCACTTTCTGCCCTTTCATGTAGCGATCCGGATCGAACTAAAAAGATTCTATTGTTAAAATTTGCAACTAATTTTGTGGAGTAGTTATTGTGCAGTGTAACAAAACGATCAGCATGAGCAAGGGGAATCTAGAGGAGTGAATGGCACGGAAGGAGGAGAAAAATAGATAGCAAGGCTATTAGAGTACCACATGGAGCTAATGTAAGCACGATTCTCTAACAAACGGCAGAAAAGGAAACAAAAAATTTGCAATTTTGCAAAATACAACCCTTCCTCGCTCACTTAAATTTTCCTGCTTCTGTACATACTCCTCACACCCCCCCCCCCAGCCCCCCCCTACGGAGAGATGGCCTAAGAGAATCGTGAAGTGCTCGCTATACGTCGCGCGCGGCATTTGGCGCGGCGTCCCAACTTTCTACCATTTCACGAAGTTTTTTTTTTACTTCGATTTTTCAGAATTCAAACATTCTCTTCTCGTGAAAGTTCGCCTATACAGGCTATTTGGTGCTCTGATCACGAATATGACACCCATGTTTGGACCATTTGGTGCCATCAGATGCCAACTTGGCGCCATGTCCTTTCCCACCAAAAAGGCTGAACAACTTGCAGAAAAAAAAAAAAACACATCAAGGTTTATTTTGTCTTGTCTTGATTAAAAATGTAGCAATTTGTGAAAAAATAGGGGCACCAACAGAAATTAGGATCATGTAAGTATGAGTTAGTCTAAATATGCGCTGTTTATCGACGGGAGGTGGGGCATTCTGCTTTTCATAGATTTGCCAACCCATTTAGGTACCCCTTTTTCGAGTTGACACGTTTTAGGATGGTGGCTAGACGATCTTGCTCCAGCTTCACAAGCGTTCACAAGTTTTACCAGAGTGAGATTTGTAAACCGGAACCAGGGAAGCAATTATAATACAAAATGCCCCCCCCGTCGATAAAGAGCGCCGTTTTAAATAACTCCTGTAGGCGAATTT